GAGGAGGAGGAGGAGGAGGAGGAGGAGGAGGGCTTTCCCTCCTTCCCGGCAGAGGCTCAGAGCGAACTCGGCCTGCGCGGGCCCTCCCCGACGCCCTCCCCGGTGGCTCGCTCGCCGGGGCGACCGACGCCCCTCCCCGCGCTCGGGGGGCTCCCGGCGGGCGTGCCACGACTGTGAGGCTCGGCCTCTTCGTCCCGTGCCTTCTGGGCGTGCCCTTCGTGACGTGCTTGGTTTTCCAATCGCACGTCGTCAGCCGTCAAGGCGCGGGTGGTTCAAAGAGTTTAGCCTACTCCCTGCCAAATTCCCGCTTACCCCTTCTCGGGGGAGGGGTGCATCACTGCTCCCTATAAATATACACCCCCTCCCCCAGGCGGCTAGTGGCCAACCAAGAACTTCGCAGTGGGCACTGTACCCCCAAACCATCAATCTGGGAACAGAAACGGGCAAACAGCTTGAAACATCCCCGCAACCTGAACGCGAACCCTGGAATGTCCCCACCCCTGGCAGCTCCGCCTTGGGGTGCCCAAATACCGGGCCTGCTGTCGCGGTGAGCATTGAGCCACCAGAAGAAAAAAGTCTGGGGGGAGAAACAGACAAGCCGCCAGAGCCATCCTCACAATCTGCTCTGCAAGCAAACGATGATGGGCACCCAAATAAGCAAACCGCCTGCGACATCCCCACAATCTGAGCGCGAACGGGAGAGTAAGATACCCCTTTGCAGCTCCCCCCCCTGGAGTGCTGAAGCCAGCGCCTTCCCGGAGACATCCCCACAATCTGCTCTGACGGCAAAGGACACTGGGCACCCAAACAGGCAAACCGCCTGAGACAACCCCATGAACGGATGAGTGAGATACACCATGGCGGCCCCCATCGGAGTGTTAAAACCAGCGCCTCGCCTGAGACATCCTCACTGCATGTGTGCGTGAGTGATTATGAGCATGCTTGAGTCCGAAGGGGGGAAATGATGTGACTGAGCCTGCGTGAAGGGAAGAGTGAGTCTGAGCATGAGTGTATGAGTCAGTCTGAGTATGAGTATGACCTAGTCTGAGTATGAGTATCAGTAGTCCGAGCATGAGTAAGTCTGGGTATGAATGAGTCTGAGTGTGATAAATGAGTGTGAGTGTGAGTGCGAGGAAAAGAGGAGGCAGGTTGGGGAGGAGAAGTCGATTCGGTCTGAGTAAATACCCCCCTGACGCTCCACCTTGGGGATGCTGAAACCAGCGCCTCGCCCGAGACATCCTCGCGCTGGGCACGCAAACACGCAAACCGCCAAAGAAATTTCCATAATCTAGGCGCGAACGGGCCCGTGAGATACCCCCTTGGCGCTCCCCCCTGGGTGCTGAAACCAGCGCCTCGCCTGAGACATGCTGACAGCCTCTGTGCGTGAGTGATTATGAGCATGAGTGAGTCCAAGTCAGGAAGTGATGCGACTGAGTCTGCATGAGGAAGAGTGAGTCTGAACACGAGTGCTTCTGAGTGATGAGTCATTTTTCTGAGCAAGTCAGAGCACGAGTTGAGTCTGAGTCTGAGCCTGAGTGAGTCTCGGTTTGAGTGAGTATGAGTGAGCCTGAGTGACTCTGAGTGAGGAAGTGAAGGGAGGGGAGGAGGTGAGGACGAGGTTCTCGGAGCCGTCTGAGTATGAGCAAAAATCTCATCTTTGGATATGAGGAAAACCCAAATTCGAGGTGTCTGGTCTCTGGAGGTCTGGGCTGGGCTCTGGGGGTAAAAACCCGCTCGCCGGACCTGTCCAGGGGTACGCTCTGTCCAGGGTTTCGAGGCAGACCAAGCCGTGGCGCCGAGAAGCCTCCAAGAGGAGAAGAAAGCACCAAGAACGTCCGAATGCATTCGTCCTAGATGCTCAAACTTCGACCCTAGATCCTCACACTTCGACCCTCGATCCTCAGACGTCGGCCCTCCACCCTCCTCTCGGCGACACGCAAGAGTGACCCCCTGGGCAAGAGCGACCTCCAGTGCGTGGCTTTCGGGGGCCGCGCGGGGCAAAATCCAAGCGAGCAGAGCAATGATGAGTATCGCTTCACCGATCCCCATCCCCCCCTGGCCGATTTACCCAGCCAGTTGGGGATATAGGCCGTGCCCTTCGGGTTTCGAGGGGTGTATCCCCAACTACGGTGGGAACTTGGTGGGGGTCTCGAAGGGGTTGAGGATGGGGATGGGGATCGGTGAAACGATGCTGAAGTGATGGGGGACCCCTGCAGGCCTGCACCACGAGGGCACCAGCAAGGCGCCACTCCTCCCCAGAAACCCCCACGTCTCGAGCTTCACTTGGTAATCCCCAAACGTGGTGGTGACAACACCTGGCGGTGAGTCTCGGGCGATTTGGTGTCACCACCCAGTTTGGGGACTCGTGCGGTTTTCCGAGGATGTCCCGAACACTGGTGGGTCCAGGAGTCACAAAACCCGGTGGTGACCCCGTCCCCAAACCCAGCGGTGACCTTTTTGGCGATTCCAGGTCGCCACCTGGTATCTCACCACTCGGTTTGGGGGTTCCCAATTCACACGCGGGAGTCCCCGAAAGCCCCGACCCTGGGCCGCCTTCTCGCCCCGAGCCGTCCTTGCCGACGGTCCCGAGGGCCCGGCGGAGGGCCCCCACCGAGGCCGCGAACGGCGACAAGGCCTCTCCGCACTGATGCGACCACGCGGAGATTTTCGACGCCCTTGAGACGTCGCAGCACCCTGGGCGACAGCGACCGGCGCCCTGCACCCCATCTCCCTGCTCGGGAGCGGCCAAGAGGGGGGGGTCCAAGAGGGGGGGGGGCAGGTCATGACCGGCGGCACGCTAGGATCGGGATAAATCGCTCCAGAGCGTTCCGGAGCGCTCTCAGAGCGTTCCGGAACGCTCTGGAGCGGCCGCGGCGCCCAATACATTTTCCAAACCCGCCGATTCTCGGAGATTTCGAGTTATCCCGATCCGATTTTGTCCCGATCTTCGCGTCGTTTTCCCCTCTCGGGGTGGACCGCGCCGCGAGGGCCCCGGGGCCCGGGACCCGGGCTAGAGCACGCGAGGCGAGGCGAGGCGAGGCGCGCCGTGGCCGGCCGAGGAGGCCGACCCGCGCGGGGCAGGGCGCAGCGGCCGCAGCCCTCGCGTGTTCGGGCGCCCGAGCTATCCGGGGAAGCTCGGGTCCGGGGTAGCTCGGGTTCGGATTCCCGAAGCAGGAACCCGAGTCAGCCCTGACCCGAGCTACCCCTGATGATTCGGGGCTCTGGACGCCCGAATTGTCCGGGGTAACTCGGGTTCGGATTCCCGAAAAACGACCCCGAGTTAACCCTGACCCGAGTTACCCCTGATGATTCGGGGCTCTGACATGTCGCTCCTGTGCACGAAGTCAGACTCCAATCAGCTCCAATCTCCGGCGAACTCATACCAGATGCCTTGGATCCCCTGGGACGACAAGAGCTGTTCAGTGTCATCAGACCATCAGCGTGCGAGAAGCGCGCAGCGTGACAAAACTGCGACGCCAAGACAACTCCCCAGGTCAGCACGGCAGGCTCGCGCCTTTGACGGCTTCTCGGCGCTGGTCCCCGACCCCGCGCGGACCGTTCAGCCCCGCGAGCGACCGGCGGCCTTCCGATGGCCAGATCGCTCCGCCTCGGCCGACGCTGGGCCGCTGACGGCGCGATCAAACTTGAACGCCCGCGCTGGGGTCGCCGCCGCGTCGACACGGCCTCAGAGACGCGACGCCTCGATTCTCAGAGCACGGGGCCCCCGGGCGTACTGGACCTTTCCCCTGGGCCAGCCTGCAATCCCGAGCCGTTTCTGTTACGGTCCTGGGGCCTGGCGAGGGCCCCCAGACGTTGGAAACGGCCAGAAATCTTCTGTCGTGGTCGTGCCACGACACGAGCATGCACGCCTGGGACACGAACCTGCCCCACATAGGAGTCCTCCTGGCCTCAGGTCGGACATGTCCCCCAACAGGCGGATTTTGGGCGACAAAAAAAAGTCGAATGATACCGGAGAAAAAACCCAAATCGAAGTCTTTTTAGGGCTATAGGGCTATGGGGCTATAGGGATATAGGGCTATGGGGTTATAGGGCTATAGGGCTATGGGGCCATCGGGCTATAGGGCCATAAGTCTGTAGGTCTATAGGGCTATAGGGCTGTAGTGATATAGGACTATAGGGCTATAGGGCTTTAGTGCTATAGGGCTATAGGGCTATAGGGCTATAGGGCTATAGGGCTATGGGTCTGTAGGGCTATGGGGCTATGGGGCTCTGGGGCTCGGGAGCTATGGGGCTATGGGGCTATGGGGCTCTGGGGCTATGGGGTTGTAGGGCTATAGGGCCATAGGGGCTATGAGTCTCGAGGGCTATGGGGCTATAGGGCTATAGGACCATAGGGCTATTGGGCTATAGGGATATAGGGTTATGGGGTTATAGGGCTATAGGGCTATAGGGCTATAGACATATAGAGCTACAGGGCTATAGGGCTGTAGGGCTATAGGGCTATAGGGCTGTAGGGTTGTAGGGCTATAGAGCTATAAAACTCTTGGGCGATAGGGCTATACGGCTACAAGGCAATAAGGCTGAACAGGGCTATAGGGTTATTGGATTATGGGGCTATAAGGCTACATGGCTTTTCCCCTATCAGAGCTTGCCTCTGTAGGGGTCCTGGCGGATTCATATGGTTAGGTTAGGTTTAACGCCGATGTTCGCTGCACGCCCGGGTGCCCGGGTGCCCGGGGGTGCCCGGGGCCCGGGTGCCCGGGTGCCCGAGTGCCCGGGTGCCCGGGCAGTGCCTGGGGGTGCCCGGGGGTGCCTGGGTGCCCGGGTGCCCGGGTGTCCGGGTGCCTCGGTGCCGAGGCGTGCCCGGGCGTGCCCGGGGGTGCCCAGGGGTGCTCTATAGCCCTATAGCCCTGAGCCCTATAGACCTATATCCCTATAGCCCTATAGCCCAATAGCCCTATAGCCCTATAGCCCTACAACTCCATAGCCCTATAGCTCTATAGCCCTATAGCTCAATGGCCCTATAGCCCTATAGCCCGCTAGCCCGATAGCCCTGATTAGGGCTTTTCTCCGGTATCATAAGGTTATTGGGCTACAGAGCTATGGGGCTATAGGGCTATATGGCTATAGGGCTTTAGCGCTATACAGCTATAAGGCAGCCGGGCACGGGGGCACCCGGGCACTTGGGCACCCGGGCACCCAGGCACCTGGGCACCCGGGCGGGCCGCGGAAATCGGTGGCACACCTCTCCTAACTATATTAATCCGCTAGGACCCCTACAGAGGCAAGCTCTGCTTTTGAATTTTCCTCCTGTAGAGGGACCCGCCCGACTTAATCCTGGCTACCCTCAGCCGATCCGCGGCCGGCAGGCACAACGAGCCTCGGCCCCGCCTGGCCGCCCCTGTCGCTGCGGCTCTGTACCCCCCTGGCCGCGCGCGTGGCGCCCGCGCGCGGTGGCGACTCGCACTGCCGCCGGCCCTCGACGGCGGCAGTCGACGGGCGACGGCAGGCCGCCAGCCACCGCGGCAGCGGCGGCAGCGACGACGGGCGCCGCCGGGCGCCGCGGCGGCGGCGGCGCCCGCCGACGGCCATCGACGGCGGCGGTCGGCAGAGACGGCGGGCGCAGCCAGCCGCCAGCGGTGGCGACGGCCGCCGCGGCGAGGACGGCGGTAATCGACGGCGACGGCGGGCGGCGAAAGCCCGCCGCGGCTGCAGCCGCGGACGCCCGTCGACGGCGGCGGTCGACGGCGGCGGCGGGCGACGGCGACGGCGGGCGCCACCCGCCGACGCGGCGGCGACGGCGCCGACGGCGACGGAAGGCGCCGCCAGCCGCCGCGGCGACGGCAGCGGCTGCCGATGGCAGTCGACGGCGGCAGTCGACGGCTGCAGCGGGCGCCGCCAGACGCCGACGGCGGCGGTCGACGGCGACGGCGGGCGCCGCCAGCCGCCGAAGGCGACGGCGACGGCGGCGGGCGGCGGCGACGGGGGGCGCCGCCAGGCCGCCGCGGCGGCGGCGGCGCCCGCCGACGGCCGTCGACGGCGGCGGTCGACGGCGACGGCAGACGCCGCCACTCGCTGACAGCGACGGCGGGCGCCGCCGGCCGCTGGCCGCAGCGGCGGCGGCGGCGGACGCCGCCAACCGTCGACAGTGTCGAAAGACGGCGGCGGCGGCAGTCGACGGCCACGGCGGGCACAGCCAGCTGCCGCGGCGGCCGCCAACGGCCGAAGGCCACGGCAGCCGACGGCCACGGCAAGGGAGGCGGCGGCGGCCGACGGCGACGGCGGCGCCGCCGGCTGCTGGCGGCAGCGGTCGACGACGATGGTTGGCGCCGCCAGTCGCCGGCCGCCGCAACAACAACTTGGGCGGCGTCCACCACAACAACAACTTGGACGGCGGCGGCGGGCGCCGATGGCCGCCGCGGCCACGGCGGCCACCGCAACAGCGGCGCCCCCCGCGACGGCGGTGGCGGCGGTCGACGGCGACGGCGGCGCCTGCCGCCGCGGCGACCGCCGTCGACGGTGACGGCAGTCAACGGCGACGGCAATCGACTGCGACGGCGGCACCGGCAGCCGCCGGCGGCGGCGGTCGACGACGATGGCGGGCGCCGCCGTTCGCCGCCGCCGACGTCCGTCGACGGCGGCGGTCGACGGTCGACGACGGCAGCGGCCACCACGACAACACTAGGGCACCGACGGCGGGCGCCGCCAGCCGCCGCGGCGGCGGCGACCTCTGAGATCCAGGCGCTGCAATTTTGCAGGACCGAGCGTTTTAGCCCGGTTTCGGCGCCCCAACACAAATCAATCTGGCTCGACATATGCCGCGGCAAGGTGAGGCCTAGGGCTCCAACGCTTGGGTTTGCAAAAATGTCTCATGCGGCGGCGGCGGCGCCAAAGATCGAGGCCCGTTCCTCGGGCCAGGCCTGCTGGGGGATGGGTCTGGGGACCGATGTTATGCGCATCTCTGGGTCTGGCAGCAGCGGCGGCGGCGACGGCGATGGCAGCGGTCCCATGTCATGAGACTCATTATCCTCCTCCTCCTCCTCCTCCTCCTCCTCCTCCCCCTCCTCCTCCTCCTTCTCCTCCTCCTATTCCTCCTCCTCTCCTACCTCCTCCTCCTCTCTGTCTCTCCTCCTCCTCCTCCTCCTCCTCCTCCTCCTCCTCCTCCTCCTCCTCCTCCTAGCGCACACGCCAGAGGCCTCCTAGATGGAATCGGAGTAGATGTAAGTCGGGCGTGTCCCCTACAGGGGGATATTCGACGAAAATTAAAGATACTGAAAAGTACTTCAAACTTATTTGTTTGATGATGATTGAACATGTTTAACCCAAAAAAAACAACAACAAAAAAAACGTTTAAAAAAGTACCCTGACTATGTTTTACTATTTTTGAATAGTCCCCCTGTAGAGGGACAGGCCCGACTTACGAGTAGATGGGGGTCCGAGGATCGCGCCGCAGCGCCGATGCATCGGCAATGCATCGGCGATGCATCGGCGATACATCGGCGATGCATCGGAGATGCACCGGCGATGCATCGGCGATGCATCGTGGACGTCGGCGATGCAATGTCAACGTCGACGTGAAGCACATCGGGCTGCACATCGAGCCGCAGCGGCGATGAATCGGCGATGCGGCGCGATCCTCCGACCCCATCCACTCCGACCCCATCTGGGAGGCCTAGAAATTCGTCTTGAAAACCCAAAGCTGCACAAACGGAGGGCGGGCCGCTTTCAAAAGGAGGCTCTCGCCTTGGCGCTGCGAGCTCGTCTTTGCCTTTCTAATTGGAATATCGCTGAATAACTTCTCAAACGTTCTACATCACAAGGAAAGTACTGTGCAACAGTTCACGAATGGAAGGCCGCGCCTTTTCAGAATGAGGCTCTCGCTGGAGATGTTGCTGAATCTTGCGACTAACAATATACAATTGCCCAAAGGGCTACACGGATGGTGGGCGGCTCCTTTGCAAAAAGAGGAGCTCTCGCTGGGCATCTCCTTAATTTTATGACCCCACCTCGCCGTATTCATTGCAGCTCGTGCGCATTTGCCTATCCGCGGCCATAAAGGACGCTATGGAGGCTGGGGGGGAAGGGCGGGGGGGGACGGGAGGGGGCAGAACGTATCACCCCCCCCCCACCCTCGGGCGCGGCCAAGAGGGGGGTGTCCAAGAGGGGGGGGTGCAAATCATGACCGGCGGCACGTGCGCGGCCCAGGGACGGGGACCAGGGACGTAATGGAATTAGAAGAGGCGCCATGAAATCTGAGAAAATATCATGGCCCCCGCCATGATGTCCACCCCCCCCCCCTAATCAACCCCCACCACCCAGACTGTGGTGCTGGACACACAGCGGCAGTGCCGGGGACGCACCGAAGGCGGGGAGCGTTACGTTATGGGGGGGGAGGGGGGGGGGAGGAGGGGGGACGCGTTGCGGCCCAGATGGTGTGATTTGATTTGTTTTAAAGAAAATGTCATCGAGGCATCTTGTTCAGCTATAGGGGGGCGCCTCGCGCAAAGAGAGAAGGAACACTTGCAGGGGGGGAAGACAACTGCATGAGCATAAACTGTCGGAGGTCCGCGCGGACTTCTTGGAGCTGCGCTGATCAGCAACAGAAGGACCCCTAACCCTTTGGGAGGGGACCCAAGTTAGGAAGGCCAAAACCATTCGGGAAAGGGGTCTTTCCCAGCAGATAGATCGAGCCAAACCGCCAAAAATTATCATCCGAATGCGAAGACGGGGATCTAAGCGAGGCCACGTCTTCACTATGTTGATAGGGTCTGGGGTTCTTTCACTCTCGATGATGCGCTGAACCCCCCTTCCCTGGCACGCGGAGCGCGCCAAGATTTGCGCCAGAAGCGCCGCCAGGGGGTTCCAGCGCAGATCCAAGAAATCAGCGCGGAGCTCCGAAGGCTTATGTTTACGCAGATGCTCCTTCTTCGAATGTATGGACGACTGAAGGGGAGACTTGGGACGAACAGGTGCATTGCGGTATCGTTGATACATCTTGGGTTTCCTATGATCATCTTCCTGTTTTTTTATGAGGCATGATATCTGCATGAAGTGACAGAGGTGGCGTTTTCCGGTCGCCGCCCCCCCTCGCGGGAGGTCGCCCCCGCCAGCTTGTACATGACCACGTTCACGAATTCATAAATATACCTGCAGCGGATGCCTGTGCCAAGGCACTCTCGGGCTGAATGTGTTCTTCCAGTCCAGCGTCCTCGTCCCCGCAGCGTTCGTCAACAAACTTTGCAAGGCCTGTTGAAACTGCGATACACTGCTCGATGACTCCACGATCCATGGCGGAAGTCTGTTAGAGATAGTGACAAGACCAAGTAAAGAATGTTTGATGTAATCCGCTGGGCGCGAGTTTGGCAGAACAAAATCACTCCAGTGACCGTCGGAATACTCTACCAATTGTAAACGGTGTCTTCCTTCACGACGTGCTGACGACCTTGTGTCAATCTTGAAAAACTGTCTAAAGTGCGCCGGTCCGCTTCCCAAGACTGCGCGGTGGATCAGACCCAGCATCGCCATGTCTCTCCGAGACGACAAAGGCGCGAGCCGGAGAGATATCAGAGCCTCCTCCGGGGTGGCGCCAACAGCTGCAACAAGCTTGTCTTGTACGTGGTCCAGAGATTCTAGTGACGTCCTGCATGCATGGTATATTGCAGCAGTTCTGTACTCAATGAACGACAGCAACTGGGCTTTGTACAAAATGACCAAATGACCGCTCGTATTGTACTTGCACGTCCTGAGAATTGCTTTCAGCTTCCACCTACAGTCCTTTGCCAATCCGAAAACAGAATCTGTCATAAGAAGCTTCGTATCGAAAGCCACTCCCAACAATACAAACGAGGTCCCACGTGGATGCTTTCTGGATAAAATGTGTTTCGATTCCTTCCCAGCGTCAAATGTAACTTCATTGGCTTTGCCCCACTTGTGGAGCTCTCGTTGACAAGAATCGACGTCTACAAGAATTTCACTGTTCGTGACTTCACCGCCGTACTCTTTGAACGCATTCAGATCGTCGGCAAAAACAATTTCGGTGAATTGCATCTTCCGGATTGGTTCCGAGGAGTCCGCGTAAAATACGTTCCACAGCATTGGCCCCCAAACTGTCCCCTGGAATACCATGTCGTCTAACAACAGCTCCCTGGACTTCCCGCCTTCGACCACCACTTGAGCCCGTCTGACGCTCAACCACGACTTGAACAGTTCCAGATTTTCTGGCGGCACCCCTCTCGCGGCTAGCTTTTGCAATAGCCGGTTAACAAAAACTCTGTCGAACGCAGCGGACACATCCGACATGTAAAGAGCAATCTTTGACTTCGACCGGAAAGCCGTCAGCCATGACAGTACGAGAAATGCCAATGCGTCCCTCGCACCCCTTCCGTGGCTGTACGCGAACTGGTTGCTACCGATGCTGGCCTCAGACATGAGTACGGGAAGCAGTGCAGGCTTCAATAATCTTTCCATGACCTTCGCGAGCTGAGCGGTGAGGTGCACTCCTCGGTAGTTGTCCGGGTCGTACACAGCCTTTTTCTTGTAAATGGCAGCAATCCAATGGATCCCCCAATTGGCAGGCCATACTCCCTTGGATCTGATCGCTGAGCTAAGCAGAAATACTGAAGCGCAAGTGATGTTGCGCATCGCTTGAGAATTCTCGTTGGTAGCAGGTCAGGGCCAGTGGCACTGTCTTCCACGAGAGCGTCCAAAACGGATTCCGCCTCCTTTACAGAAACGGTCTCAGTCGATTCCGGTACCCCCTCAACGTCCAAAGCTCGGACATTAGAGTACTCGTTCTGCTCTCGCTCGGGCAGAACAAACTTGCTACTGAAAACTGCTGCTAATAAATCTGTTTTCTCGCTTGGCTCCCTGACCGGGCGTGCTAAGATCTCCGGTAACTGGTTAACAGTATTAACAGTATTTCTAGTTCGCGCGCGCGGCGCGGCCCCTGGGGGTCCCCCGGCGAAAAGTACCCCGACCAACGCCCGGTCGCCGCCCGACCGCCGCCCGACCGCCGCCCGACCGCCGCCCGACCAAGTCTACTCAGAGATGGTTTTCATTCTGGGTGCGGCCTCTCAGGCTCCCCAGAGCGCGCTCAGAGTGCCCCAAGAGGTCCCCCAAGAATGCCCAAGAGTCCCCGAGACGCCCAACGCGCAGCTCGAAGCGCGAAGATAGCGAAGATGACCCCAAACTGCCAAAAGGCCGCCCAAGACTGAGCCCAAGAGGCCTCAAGACGCTCCCACTGGCCTTCCATAGGCCTCCGGAGGAGAGCCCCCAAGAGCCAAAAACGTTGATCTTTTCATTGTTTTTCTATGTTTTTTTGTGTTCTGGCTTTTCTGTGTGCTGGCTTTTTCGGCTTCCGGACGCTCCAAGACGCCCAAGAGGCCCCCAAGACCGCTCAAGACGGCCCACGAAGCTCCCAAGACGGCGCCGAAACGACCAAGAGAGCCCTCAAGACGGCCCAAGTGCCGCCCAAGACGGACCAAGAGGCCCCAAGACGGGCCCAAGAGGGACTCAGGAGGGATACCGAGAACTCAAAAATGGAGCCCTCCGTCCAGAAGGCGCCCAGGAGGTCCCAAAGAGGCCCCAAGAGGCCTCCAAGAGGCCCCAAGATGTCGCCAAGAGGCCCCAGGAGACTCCCAGGAGGCCCAAAAGAAGTCCCAGAAGGCTTCAAACATGTCTCCCAGGCGCCCCCGAACGGCCTCTCAACAGACCCCAAGAGGCCCCCCAAATAAGCATCTTGACGACGACTCTATTTCGCCCCATCGAGAGACGACCCCCAGGGAACTGCTTCACCATCAAAACTCCCCACGCAACGCGTCCGAACGACACCCGCCCCCAAGAGCGCAACATGGGCAACGAACACACAGACAAAAACCAGCGATGCCATATCACGGGCCGGCGGAATGAGCGAAGCGATTCAATAAATCCGCTTTCTCGCTTGGCTCCCTGACCCAATTCCCGTCCTTCCCTCGCAATGCTGGGATCGCGCTCGACCGTGCTCTCTGATGCTGGAGTTGTCGTTCCTTTGCCCACCAATTCTTGGACCCGCTCTTCATCGAAGCGAGTTCTGATCGCACTTCGCCGCACCACCGGGTATACTCTTCCATGATGACCTGGCTGCAATGGATAGCTGCATCAACCTCCTGTTCGGTCCCCTCCGCTTGTCTTTTCGTCTCCACGGCTGAAACCGCTCGGCCATTCAACCACGGGTGCGAAGATTTCTTTTTCGTTATCCACTTTGTCTGCACACACTCCCGGGCATAATCCAAAATTATTCGAGTCATCTTCACTGCGCCGTGCGTTGGGTCTGAATGAGAAAGGAATCGCCAATCCACAGAGGTCAACATCTTGTTGAGTTTGCCCCAGTCGGCATCTCTGAACAACCAAACTTCTCTCTGTATATCAACTGCAGTTGGGACCCTCAGGGAAACGGCTGCCTGCACGACATTGTGGTCCGCCACTTTCGGTAATACTGCCACCTTCACACCGTCCGTGTCTGTAAGCACCAAGTCCAACAGGTGCGGACCCCGGGTTGGTGC